TGGTCCTCCTACCGCAGCCTCTGGGGCAGTAGGGAATACAGTGGTGCAGTATCATGCCTGGCCATTTGTTTAAAACTTTATGTTTTGTGGAGACAAGGTCGCACTATGTTGCCCAGAGTGGTCTGGAACTACTGGGCTCAAGCCATTCTCCCATCTCAGCCTCCCAAAGTGCTGGGATTACAGGTGTGAGCCACCGTGCCCAGCCCAGGACAAATCTCTGCTCCTTACCACTGAAATGGGATTGTTGCTCATCTTTCTCCCTACCAGATGGGCATGCCATGAGTTCACAGGCTGGTGTATCCCATGCCCTACGGAAGGTCTGGCACAGTGAGGAAAGCACGAGTTGCCTTGGGGCTGGAACTGGGCTCCCCAGGGATCTGAACAGAGTCTGCTTTGCTGGGAGGGGATCCCCACATCTAGCACACTGGTAGGAGACGGCTAGCCAAAAATACTTGTTGAGTGTCCAATTGGCATGTCCGGGTGTTGACTGAAAGGAAGCATCAATATGCAGAAGACATTCATGGGAGCTAGTGTTGAAGCAAGTGGATCTGCAGAGGGCACTGCAGGCAGAGGACATGATAAGGAGGTGACCAGGTAGCAGAGCATCATGCATGTCACATGGAACCTAACATGCCTGGATGGCTTGCCCAGTGCAGGATACAGTTCACATTGGCCCCAGGGGTGGGGGGCAAGGTGGGCCAGGCATTCAGAGAGGGAGGCACTTCTCCAGCAGATGCATTGTTCAGAGAAGCTGCAGGGGCAGACGGCAGAGAGTGATCGTAGGGGAAGCCCCCATGAAGGACACGGAGCACAGGGCCATAAGAAAAGCTTCACACACTTAAGAGGGCCGACGTCATGTAAAGCACGTTTGTCAACCGCAATGGAATACAAAGAGAAGTCAGTAACAAAATTGGGAAATCCACATGAAATGACAAACTCCTAACCAGTGGGTCAAAGAAGTCACAAGGGAAATGAGAAAGTCTTTGAGATGTCCACTTCTAAACGAAGTGATAGGGGAAAAAAAGAAGAAAGTCTTTGACATGAATGAAAGCACGATAGCTAAAGCAATGCTCAGAGAAAACTTCACAGCAGCAAACGCAAGGTCCTAAAGACCTTGAATCATAATCTCACTTTACACCTTAAGGAGCTACAAGAAAATAAGTGCCAACTAAATCCACAGCAATGAAAAGGAAGAAAATAATAAAGATTAGAGAGGATATTCATGAAACAGAGGCTAGAAAATAATAGAAAAAATCCACAAAACCATAGCGATTCCATGTTGTTCTTTGAAAACAACAAACTCGACAAACCTTAAGCTGGCCTAATTAAGCCAAGCACGCTACGGCAAGGGTACTCATGGGAAGAAGGCCTCGTGCAGACTGGCCTCTGCAGCAGAAGTCTAGGTGAGGACAGGGATCACGAGAGTTCAGAGAACAGAGGGCGTTTGCTGATACAAGGTACCGTGCACGGGGCCTGGAGCAGAAGGTATTTGGAGGCAGGTTCGGGTCCTTCCTGTGCAGAGAAGTTTCACAGGAGAGAGAGAGGCTCTGTGGAGGTTCTGTGGAGGAAATTCACAGGCTCATGGCATTCATAAGCAAGGCACAGTTCCCAGAGGAAACCACACAGGTACGGGGCCCTCACAGGTACAAACTCATGGCAGGGAGCAGGACTGGGGGTGGGGGAAGCCCAACTCTGTCATCAGCTGGTTGAACAGGACTTGGCCTGCTAAGTGCTACTTCAAAATGGCACGCCTCTATTTTTCCTTTAGGTGTTTGCGTCACACACGACCACCAACTGAGAGTCCTAGAAATTCTTAATTTGTAACAACTCTCATAATCCCTGTCTCTGGCATTGTAAAAGCTCCTCCTCCTTTCCCACTGTACCATAATGGTGGTCAAGGTTGGGTGAGAAGGTAGCTAGAACAACTACTAGTTCAATGGCTCCGAGATCCCTACTCAGTGATGGAAGTTCTCTGAGTGTCATGTCTTTTACCTTCGGACTTCCTGACCACCCTTTTCTGCCCCTGGAAGAATGGCTCACTTCATAGGCAAACGAAGATTCTACAGGATCTGGACAGCCTGGGCACTAGCCTTAAGAAGCAACATGAAGCAGGGTAGGGTGTGTGTTGGGGTCACTTTTGGGGAGAGACATTGAGAGCTGTGTATTCAGAATTACTATCAAGGAAGAGCTGGAGGGACCAGGAGTGTTGACGTAAGAGATGGGAGAATCTGAGCAGTATCTTCATTTATTTTAGGGGCTGGCATCTAAGAGAAGAACTAAAGACCACCAGTGGGTGAAGATTAAAGAGAAGCAGATTTCAGACTCAATAGAAGGGTGCATCTTCTAAAATTGAGTCTGTCCACAGAGAAAAGGGACTCTTGAAGAACTGAGCTCCTGGTCATTGGAAGTGTGCAGTAAGGATTAGGTGGCCATCTGTGATGGCAATGAAAGAGAGGATGGACTTCTCAAACACAAGAATCCTCATTAAGATTTGATGAGTTGGCCAGGTTCGGTGGCTCAGTCTGTAATCTCAGCACTTTGGGAGGCCAAGGTGAGTGGATTGCCTGCGCCCACGGGTTCGAGACCAGCCGGGGCAACTTGGCAAGACTTCATCTCTACAATAAATCAAAAATTAGCCGGGCGTGGTAGCATGCACCTGTAGTTCTGGCTACTTGGTAGGCTGAGGTGGAAGAGTGGCCATGAGTGTGCCACTGCACTCCAGCCTGGGCAACAGAGTGAGACTCAAACTCAAAAAAAAAAAAAAAAAAAGACTTGCTGAGTCAAGACTCCCACAACTTTCTGTTCATGTATAGTTTCTAGATGTTGCCATTAAGTACTTATTTTCTTTTGTAGAGAGAACAGCTTCAGGCAATAGGAGAGAAGAAATCACACAGCTGAAAGCACCAAGTTATTACGCTTCAAAAAGAAAACCTTAACACTGATACGGTAATGGCTTAACATTTATTATAATTGTGTACATTAATGTGAATTAAGCAAGTACGATTAGAACCACTAAGCAATTAAAAAGAAGCAAAATGTAACGCGACCATCCCTCTTCCACAGGTCTGCGGATTTCTGGGTTCTGGATCAAACTCAACACCCATCCTGCAAGCTTGCTTTCCATAACTTGCATGTTGGTTCTAAAACTCCCTTAAAGGCAGACTAAGCCTTGGGAGGTGGGGCAGTCTATCTGGCAACTCATTACTCTGCATTCCCTCAGCTGGGCCTGCACTGAGACTCCTTTCTCTCAGTAATTCGGCACCCATGTGTTAGTGCCCAGCACGCGTCAAGTCCCAAGCTGGGGGCTAGACTTCAGGAAGACCAGCTCATACGTCATGTGGGTACACGAACTATTATACTTTTCCCCTCCAGAGTAAATCTGATGCACAGTTATGCAAACAAACAGAATGACCCTCTCTCATCATTTGGGAGGAAGAACAGGACCACAAACCAAAGTGGATAGGGCCCAGAAACCGGAGAAAGATGGAGAGACGTTTTAGAGCGAAGTCAAGAAAAGAGTCAGCAACACTACAAGGCTGCTCTTCCTCTCAAGGAACTAACAGAGTAAGGCAGGGCCCGAAGGTCGGAGCGTGTCAGCTGACGGCACGGGCGGCCCTGCATCTGCCCGGCTGGCCAAGAGGTTTCCAAGTTCCATGGACCAGGGCCCGCAGTGGTTGCCTCTAGCTTGAGGCAGGGCCCGAATTGGAAAATAGGAGGTCACTGAAAGCTCTGTGCTCAGACTGGCTAGCCCACTGGCACCTTCCTGGATGGACAAGCTCCTCCTTGGGAAAGTCTGTGAGTCAGATGTTCCCAGAGAAAGCATCTCAGTCTGGAGGTGTTTCCACGAAGTGGGGGAGAGGAAAGGGGGGTGGTTTGGGCCTTGCAGTACTTCCTGGGATGGGGGATCCAGAAATTCAGGCTACACAGAGAAAGACCACAGTCTCCCACTTCTACCCTTGGCAAGCACAGGTCTCAGGGAGGCCCGAGGGCAGAGTGTCACCTGGAAGGAGTTAGGTATCCTTGCATGGCGCTTGACACATCTTGGGCGCTTAATCGAAGCTCACTATTGTGGTGATTGCCCCTGGAGAGGACATGGGCTCTGCAGAGTTCTGCACAATGCAGTGACCACCTCTCTGAGTGTCAATGTCCTCATCTGTTAAACGGAGGCAAGAATACCCTCTTCCCAGGACTGTTATGGGATTAACGGCACCACTGTGAGACAGTGCCTGGTGTGAGAGGTCCTCCAGAGGTGTCAGCTGCTTTCCCCTTCTTAATCCCGGTGGGATCCATATGCCCCAAAAGCCACTTGGGAGGATTTTTACATACAGCTCAAGGAGCAGAAATTGAGGGTAAGGGTGTTCATCAGCGATTAAGCTTCTGGCAGACACAGATACCCCTTCCATTAGTAGCCTCCTAAAATCACAGCCCATTGGATGGGAATCTCATTGTGTAAACTTTCCAATACATGCTCATATACCCAGAAGGAGAAACCCCAATACAGTGAAAGACAGGTGGGAGGAGGTAATTAAAAACTGCGCTATAACTCAATCGAAAGCAACTAACTACTTGCAAATGTGTATGGAAATTTAAAATACATATACGTATATGGCAAATAAACAAGCTAAACGTTAGCCTATGCCAATCCCTAGCATTCAATGACACAGTTTACCCACCAGGGATCGTCAATAGTCTTCAACTTGGCCCCTTAGGAGCTTCAAGGGAGTCAGGGCACAATGAACCCCACACATCTGCCCACCTAAAGTCGTTAGAAAGCCCATCAGTCTCAGGGAAGCCAAGATGGCACTCTAGCTCAATTCTCGTTGGCTGAGCTTGAAATGAGATCATAGGTGTAAAGTGCTTCCTAAGCTGTAAGGAGCTACACACACAAGCAATGGTCATAGCATCACTAAGACACGATAGCGAAGGCAGGCAGGTTCAACTTGAGAAGGGCAAAAGCATGAAGAAATCAAACAGGGAAGGAGGAAGTGAGGGAACAGCAACTTGGGGCAACTGAGGACAAACTGGCCCAGGGTCATCAGCTTCCGATCAGCCTGGGGGAACACAAAGAAAAGAGAAGTAGCCATGAGATTGGAAACTCACATCCAGCACCAAATCAGCCAGAGGCCCTCAGGGTGCATGACTGCTCCAGTGGGTGCCCTCTGGCTGCTACCCATGCCCACTGCCTTCAAGGGACATGCCCTACTCTGTGCTTACACACTGTCTCAGCTACACTGCTCACCTGAAGACGGGGGTGAGGTCCTGAATGTACCCCCAACCCACACGATATTTCTCCAGGCCCATTCCCTTTCTAAGTTTTGAGTTCCTTGTTGCAAAATGAGGCTCATAACAGTGGCCCAGCATTCCAGGCAGCTAGAGGGCTCAGCTGAGGTGCTGGATGGCAGGTGCCACTTGAAAGTGTCCCTGCAGAGGGCTTTGTCCATGCTACCTAAAATCTCAAAGTATCATGGGGCATAGGAGCATGAGGACATGGGGCTCCTTGAATATAAAGGCTGACAGACTCAGGGAGAAACCCGGGCACAGGCCTCTCTACTAACGAGTCTCTGGCTGCTTGTCACCCACCTAGAAGAGCTTCTCATAGCATTTCCCGCAGTGGATGGTGTCACGATGAATGAAGATCTGATCCAGGAGATCACCCATCGGTTTGCTGCAAATCCCACACTGAAAGAGAAAGCAGCCTAGACATCAACACACAAAGCAAGGCAGCAAGAATGGGCAGGGGCAGGGCCTGGCAAAGTGGGCAGGTGGATGCTGTAGGCCATGGCACCCCCGGACCCCCAAATGCTCAACAAAACATGGCCAAAGCCAGAAGTAAAACTTGAACTCAAAAGCAAGACAAAGGCCAGGCGTGGTGGCTCACACCTATAATCCCAGCACTCTGGGAGGTCAAGGCGGGAGGATCACTTAGGCCTGGTTCAAGACCAGCCAAGACAACAAAGCAAGACCTCATCTCTACAAAAAAATAGAAAAATAGCCAGGTGTGGTGGTGCATGCTTGTAGTTCCAGCTACTTGGGAGGCTGAGGCACAAGGGTCACCTGAATCCAGGATTTTGAGACTACAGTGAGTCATGATTGTGCCACTGCACTCCAGCCTAGGTGATAGAGTGAGATCCCAACTCAAAAATTTAAAAATCGAGGAAAAAAACCTTGCAAAAATTAGCTAGGAGGGGGATCACATCCTGGTTAGGAGTCCAGGTTTCAGAATCCGGCCTGGGCTTCAGTCTGGACTCCATGACTTATTAGCTGCATGAGCCTGGACAAGTTACCAAAACTCTCCCAGCCTCTGTTTCCTCATCTATAAAGTGGGCACACTGGCAAGTCATACTTCTCAAGTCATCAGGAGCATTCAGTGAGTAGCCCGCATAAAGCATTCGGCCTGGAGCCAGGCCAGCGGTCACTGCCGTTGTAGGAAGGGCTGGGAGACATTTAAAGTCCAAAGGAAGATGATATGACGGTCTCACGAAATGGAAAGCTACGTCAGCAGTCCAGCCTTCTAACCTCATGACCCTCAATCCTGCCTCCAGAGAACAACCTGCCACACGTAGTGGTGGGCTCTCCTGGCACCAGGGTCGGGCCTGCCAGGCCTGCAGACACTCCCAAATAAGAGCAGCCTGAGCCCCGTGTGTCCAGGTCTCCAGTTGCTGGCTTGGCCTTCCGGCTCCAAGCTTTCCAAGGGGGCTGAAAAGGGCAGAGGAGGGCCCCGGTGGTGATCTGGATGGTTATCTCAACCTTTCAACTCCTTTCTCCTGGTAGTTTTACTTCTCAGTGTAAATCTATCAGCCCTCTGAGTCATGTGTTACATTTCTGTCATTTTAGTTACTGTGAACCATGATTGGAACCTCAGTTGGCTGACTGATGGTGCCAATCCATTTAGGGGTTCACCTCTGGGTGCATAGAAAACAACAATTGAAGCTTATTTTTCTGTGTACCCACAGGGTGAAGTGCTTTGCATGCTTCAATTGTATAACAATACAAACTAGTGTTTTCAAACATTTATGTCAGCCTAACAAAGGGAAGAAAACCCTACAATTAAATAACAGACCAGGGTATACAAATGGCCCAGGGCAGTGCAGTGGCCTCTTGGGAGGCAGCATGCTTCGTTGGGCTAACACTGGTTCTGCTGTCACAACCTGGAATCGAGCCCCTGGGATCTGAGCCCCTCTCTGAGTCTGTGCTCATTACTGAAGGGGTGGTTCTCAGGCACCCACCCACCTTCCAAGAAACCCCAAGAACAGCAGGCAAGGTGAAAATCCTGCCCCTCTGGCCTCCTGTTCCCATACCCAGTGGCCTCCTGCATATGCATACATGAATGGAGACTGCTCCCATCCTGGAGATATTCCTGTGTGCCCCTTCACCTCCAACTGCAGACCCACCTCCTCACCAAGTTTCCCCAGGCTCCCGCCCACCCCGACTGCACTCTCTCCAAATCCGGGAGAAGCTTAGGTGGCAGGCTCCTGCCATTGTGCTCTGTGCTTCATAGGGGCGCTCTGTCATGAAGTAGATAACCAAAAGTCTATAGGTTATTCTAGGACTTTTCATGTATGTCCATAAATCATATTTCCTCGCCATACCATGTGTCATGATCTTTCAGTTGAAAACTATAACCCTACTCAGAGCCAATAGAACACAACTGGCCCTCAAGTGACTCCCTGTGTCCCCTTCTTGAACTCCTGGGTTCAGGTCCTCCTGCCCCCGCCTCCCAAAGTGCTGCAATTACAGGCGTGAGCCATCACACCCAGCCTCCCTCTGTCCACTTCTCCCTGTGAAAACCTGCTGCTCTCCAGGCCGCATCCCTGTGTCACTGATTCGAGAACCTAGATTCCTCTGTCACCATGGCCTCCGTCCTGTACTTCTCGCCACCACCCCAGTCTCTAGCACCTTCCCTCTAAAACTCTGGGCACCCTCTCTACCTCTGCCACTCCTTTGGCCAGACTCTAAGTGGAGCACCATTGAGAACTTGAAAAGAGGCCGGTCCTCAAGCTCCACACAGAACTGCAGAGTGAGAACTCTGGCTGGGGTCCAGTAATTTTGTCCCCACAGGGCTTGAGGCATGCTTCTATCTTGGAGCTGCAGACTTAGACATTGTCACTACCAATAAGTGTCTCACACCCCAAATCTTCACATCACATGCCCCACTCCTTGACTCCAATGGCCTCCACCTGTAGCTCACTCCAACAGGCCCCTGTCATCACCCAGGCCCCCAATGCATGGACAGGCCCATCGCCTTACCCCATCCACAGACACGTGCTAGTACCCTTCCCTGGCACTCAGCTCCCCGCCTTGCTTCTTCAAACTCACCTGGCAAAATCTCCACCCCGGGCAATGCAAGCCCCCTGCTGCACTCCTGCCTCTGGACGTGGTGCTGGGAACCACCATGTGACCACAGTGCATGGTCTTGGGAGGAATTTAGTCACCTCAAGCAGGCCGCACATGGCCTCTTATTCCCTTTGGTCCATCCACCATCCCACTCTTGGAGGCAGTGTCCAATGTCTCCCTGCCTCACCCCCACCTCTCCCCTGCAGGAGATGGCCACACTTTGCATTGACTGGGAAAATAGAACAACTGCTCAAGAAAGTCCTCATCTTTCCACCACCCAACCCAGAAGCCTCCTGCACATGACTCATCCACCTGGCCTTTCCTACCCTGCTCTGTGTGAGCTGGGACCCATCTCTCTCCTACATGAGGCATCACACTCACCCCCAGCCTCCTTCTCCTGCACGGCTAGTGCCTGCTTGCCATTGGATGTTCCTGTTGGCATACACACATGCCAGTGTGTCGTCCCAACTGCCTGATCACTCTGCTCCCCTAGAAAAACAACTCTTCGGGTGAGTCATCCAGGTTTGCTCTATTTCCACATGCCCTGCATCTCTTGAGCCCACTCCAGTCATCCTTCGGTCCCCATCACTCCACCAACACTGATCTTACTAAGGACACAATGACCATCTTGCAAAACTCAGCGGCCAATGCTGAGTCTTCGTAAGCCTCATAACTGGTCTGCCTTTTCCATTCTTGCCTTTTGCAGCTCTCCCTCACCTAGTGTCCAGAGGGATCCTTTAAAAAGCATGAAATGGGGCCGGGCTCAGCGGCTCACCCTGTAATCCCAGGACTATGGGAGGCCGAGGTGAGTGGACTGCCTGAGTCCGCGGGTTTGAGACCTGCCCGGGTAACTTGGCGAGACCTCATCTCTACAATAAATCAAAGATGAGCCGGGCGTGGTAGCACGCGCCTGTAGTTCCAGCTACTTGGGAGGCTGAGGCGGAAGGATCGCCGGAGCTCAGCAGGTCAAGGCTGTGGTGGCCATGAGCGTGCCAATGCACTCCAGCCTGGGCAACAGAGTGGGACTCCAACTCAAAAAAAAAAAAAAAGCATGGATCACATCTTGTCACTCACCCACCCAAACCCTCTAGTAGGTTTCAATTGCATTTAGAATAAAATCTAAAGTCTGTATCCTCCAAGGTCTACACAATCTAGTCTGCCCCTCACTCATGCCATTCCACCATGCAGGTTAGAAAACTAGAAAACTCTGGGTCTTCTGCCCCAGGGCCTTTGTGCATATTGACCCTCTGCCCAAAACAGTCCCTTCTCAAAAGACCACTAAGCATATGCACTGCTAACACTCATTCACTACCTTGGACTTGGGGCATTCCATCTCCAGTGCTGCAAAGTCTCTGAGATTGTATACAATCATACAGGGAGATCAAGCCTTGTGTGTGTTCTCTGAATTCACAAGACTCCTGCACTCCACACAACTTTCTCAGCAGTACCACCCCTCTTTCTTACCTTAAAGCAGTACTCATGGCAGCAGATGCCAAGATGCTCTAGGGTAATCTTCGGACAGTCTCGAATCTCGCGGCTGCAGTACGTGCAGACCCCTCCAGCTGTCCTGCAAGACAAAACACAAATGTCTGGTGGTCGGGCCAGCATACAGATGCCTCACGTGACATAGCCAGACCCTCTGGTTGGCTGCAGCCAGGCCTAGGTTTGCTGTCAGTATCTCCAGTCTGCCATCTTTTCATGTGGTGTGCAACTGCCAGTAAGTCCTAGGCCAGACCAGTCCTTGGCCTGCTGTACTCAAGAGAGGGTGAATCCCTGAGGCAACACCTATTCCAGACAGCCTGCCTCTTCCAGCTGTCCTGCCCGCATGGCTGCCGGGGCCTACTCCCCTCTACAGCAGGAAGACCAATGCCTGCTTCTGCAGGAGACAAGCCATTGTAGGTCTGACCTGGCCCATCTTGATGGCTCATGTCTGGGACTGCTGGGCCCCACCCCGAGCCCCTACAGTCTTGCACCCAACCTGCTACGATTGTGCTTGCAAAGCCTGCCCGGACCTTACACTGAAGTTCTAGATCCTGACTGCTGCGTCCAGTGTCTCCCCAGTTCCAGGACCCCTGCTTTTGTTTCGGAGTCACCTCTGCTTCTCCTCCTCAGCCAGGACTCACTGGAAGTGCCTGCGTGTTTGGATCCTACAGGATGAAACTGGGGGTGCCTTCCTCCAGAGATCTGGGTCTGCTTCCACAGGAGCCAGGCCTGAGCAATCCACCTGGATCCATGTTAGCGTCCTTGGAGGGCCCAGAATTGCATGGGCAGCTCATGTGTGTGCATGTGACTGGGGTTGTCCTTCCTCCAAGCCCAGCCATGGATCAGTAGCACCTGATTCTGGACTTAGCTGTGTAGAGGGGAGGGATCCCAGGGAGTCTGGCCTTTCATTTGCTCCCGTAGCACTGGTGAACTCTGGGTTTCTCCCCAAGTCGCCCTTCTCTGCTAAGATGCCATCCGGTAATGGGACGCGCCAAATGATCTGTGGCTGCCCAGGACCAAGGCTGCTTCTTCGACCATAATGGAGGGGACTTGCGTGTCCCCATCTGCTTATCTGCCCCTGAAGCTGCTTGCCCATAGGGCCTGGTAGGATTCTGTTCATCTGAACCCTCTCACTTTCTTCCTTTTTCTCCTCCATCTAGCTTTGGCCTCTGAATGTCACTCACAGGAATTTAGGTCCATGAGAGGCCAGATGGCAGAGGAGAATTATCCCTAATGGGAGTAGTCAGGGCTCTGGGATTTGGTCCTGACTCTGCCACTTAAGGTACACTACTTTTTCTATCCAGACCTGTTTTCTTCACAGCGACTGGAGTGAATTCAATCTCTCTTTTCTCCCCATTCCAAGAATTGTAAAATAGGCCTTCTTTGTCATTAACACAATCCTGTGACTGTGCCGTTGCCTAGTGACAGAGAGCTTTCAAAACTGTGCATGCTTAGCTCTTGGCTTCTAGAAAACAGATGATAGCTGCTCACCCGTCTTCATTTTCCATCTCCTTCTACCCCTCCATCCCAACTCTTTTTTTTTTTTGAGTTGGTGTCTCACTCTGTCACCCAGGCTGGAGGGCAGTGGCATGCTCCCGGCCACTGCAGCTTAAACCTGCTGAGCTCAGGTGATCCTTCCACCTCAGCTTTCCAAGTCTCCCTCTCTTTTAGAGACATGGTCTCGCTCTGTTGCTCAGTGCCCAGGCTGGAATGCAGTGGTACAATCATAGCTCACAGCAAACTCAGCCTCCTGAGACCTAGCAATCCTTCTGCCGTAGCCTCCCAAGTAGCTGGGATTACAAGCACACCACCACACCTGGCTAATTTTTTGATTTCTTGTAGAGATGAGGTCTCACCATGTTGCCCAGGCTGGTCTTGAACTCTTGGGCTCAAGTGATCCTCCTGCCTCAGCCTCCCAGAATGCTGGGAATACCGGCGTGACCCACTGTGTCCAGCCAACCACTCTCTTTTGTAGTTTTCTCTTTTTACTTCTGGTCAGATTTGCACGTAACTAAGTGACTGATGAAGTTCTGATCTGAAGGGCCTCTCCTGCTGACAGGAGCCCCCTGGGTTGACACCGCCACTTTCCTTCTCAGTTCCCCCTTGTGTCTGCCCTCTGGTCTTAGCTGGATTCACAAGCTTTAGTTGCCACGAGTGTGACCCCCAGTAAAGGAACCCCTCCCCTCCATGGCAGTGTCCTGCACCCATGTACAAACAGATCGGAAGCTGCAAAGTAGTCAAAAGCAGACAGACAATGTGGACATCTTCCTTAGCTGTTTCTCCTCTGCAGAACTTCCAGCTCCCAGATGAGGAAGAACACGCACCTCTCAGAGTAGGGAGTGCTGCCATATGGGGATTTCTTCTCCGTGTCAAATGAGTCCTCGATGCTGCTGACGCTGCAGGGAGTGCCATGCGGGAGAGGAGAGCAGAAAATGGGAGCCAGGTCACTCTCACAGCCCTGTGGCCAAAAGCTCCACTGCTGGTCCTTGACCATCATCCTAAATGGCACTTGGCATCTCAGGAGCTGATGCCAAGGAAGCCACATTCCCTAGGAGAAAGGCCCTTCCATGGGGGGCAAACAAGACCTGCTGCAACGAAGGAGATGACCAGGGTGGGGATTCTCGGGCTGTGTATACCAGAAGGCCCCTCATCTCCACGACCAATGGAAAGGGAGCAGACCTTCCCTCCCCACCCATGTTACACTTTGACAGTCGCCAGGAGCCCACTCGCAGCAGAAATCAAGCACTGGGAATGGAGAGAGGGAAGGGAACATTCTGGCTTAATACCTGTGCTTGGGTTATGGGGTGGGATTAGTGGGGAGACTTTTTTTTCTTTCTGTAGCTTCATTTTCAGTAATATTGCTTTTTAGAATAAAACATCACTAGGGAAGAGCAGCTAACTAGCTCTGAGCCCTGGGATACCCAGTACTGAAGCCATTGTGCTCCTGGGAGCTGTGTGGTGGCCCCGTGATGCTGTCAGGAAAACTGCTGCATGGAGGGTAAGTGGCCTGCCAAAGGTCACCCTTGGAATAAGGGGGAGCTAGAATTTCTTCTGAGCATTAGGTTTACCACTAAGCTTCCTGGGAGGTGAAGCAAAATGGTAAAACACACTGGACACACAATTCTCACTGTCCAATAAAGTCTCCAGGGTTTTCTTACGACATAGTATTTTGACTGAAAGTTACATTCAATTTAAAAACTCATATAATAATTGTCAGTCTAAAAACTAAACTGCACAGAGCGAGTGCCTGGGAGAAGACCAGGAGGTGGAACAGCTCAGTCATGTGACTGTCATGACGCAAAGCTACAGAGACAGAAAAGGAGATGAGTGCTTGCCAGGGGCTAGGGTGGTGATGTGGGGACTGCTAACGGGTCTGGGTTTCTTTTGGGGGTGACAAAGATGTTCTGGAATGGGACAGTGGTGATGGCTACACAACCCTGTGAATGCACCAAAAATCACCGACTTTCTACTGTGAAGGGAGCATTAGGACTCAAGAAAACTGTTGGGAAAATTCACTCTCTGGGGATATAGATGATGAAACTGAGGCTCAGAGAGGCAGAGCATCTTGCCTCAAGTGACCCAGTGAAGGTGGCTGGGGTTTAAAATTGAACCCCACATCCAAGCTCATCATTCCACAGCACCAGTGCCAATCCTGAACTAAGGCCAGGAAGCTCTTCTGTCTTACTGAAACCCTCGTCCTGCTGGTGGGATGACATACACAGCAGCAATCAGATGGGCGACCCCATTTCATTGTGGGTAGGTGGCAGTTAACTGAGATAACACAGAGGCACTCTCGCACATGGCATGAGGAAGCAAGCAACCAAGTGATCCATGAAAAGTCTCGTATGTACTGGGAGCAGTGAGCACGTGTGTGTTGAGATGAGGCAGTCAGGCATGATAGAAAGACAGAGGTCCAGTGGAGTGAAAGGAGACAAAGGTAACTTGACTGTGCCTGACGGTCCTGCCAGCCTTGAAAACAGGGATGCTCTCAGGATTCCACAAAAGAAAGTAACAAGGCAGGAGGCAGAAGGGGGTGGCACTGAGAATTCTGGGCCACATGTGTTGAGACGAGGCAGGCTGAATGAACTCAATGGAGAACTTGGAAGTGCCTGGTTTGGCATACATCACATCAGAGGTCAACAAACTGCTGCCTGGCAGCTACTGTGAGCTGACCTGAATGAGGCACTAGGGATGTGGGAACGAGGCCCGCACAGGCCTGGCAGAAAGAGGCCATGATGCAGAAGGCTTTGGGCCTACCCTTACCTGGCGTAGCGTGAGGATGCCGGCTTCCCCGAAGACACCTCACTGGCGTTCACATACTCCTTCACGAACAGAATCCCTTTGCTGTGGAGAAAGCACAGCAGAACATGAAGTGTACATGGAAGGTTTCAGGGCACTGGACCTGGCCTGCAGGAGGGGTCCAGGGCTGGGGAGCCCTCAGCCCAGTTAAAAGGAAGTGAAGCAGCTCAGGAAGGCCCAGGGCAGGGGCACCCAGGGCAGCGGCAGACGACAGCCACAATCCCCACCCCCGCGTGCAGCTTGTGTGTTGGGCTGAGCTAGAAAGAGGCTCCCTGCGATTGTCCCCACTCCTGCCCCCACACTTCAGTCCTGAGGGCTTTCCACATCTTCCCTACAGCTGCATTCTTTCCCTCTATCCACCACCAGGACATTCTCCAAGCCTTTATCCCAGGCACTCAGCTGCTACAAACTATCCATCTCAGGTCTAACCTCCCCCTTCTCACTCCTGAAGTTCCAGAGTTCTAGAAGGTCCCTCATCCCAGACAGGTCCCTGACACCTTGGAAATGTGTCTGCCTCATGCTGGGCTCAGCATGGCCTTGGAAGTGCCCCGATTTCCATGCTGCTTACTCCAGCCTGCTGACCTGAAGTGAGCAGAGATTCCCCTCAACCCCTCACTCGATGGTCTCCCTGCAATGACATCTTTGCAGCACTCTAAGAGGTGCTAGTAGTGTAGGTGAGGGCGTGGAGTGTGAGAGAGACAGGAACACGGGCTGCACCGGCTTCCCAGGTATGCTCCACTGGGACAGGGAGAAGGAGGTGTGGGCATGACAAGACCCCATCCAGGCCCCAAAATAGGAGCTTATACCAGGGAGACTGAGGCTGTACTATGTGGCCCTTGGCCAATGGGCACTGGGAGGTGAGGAAGGCACCACAGGGGAAGCAACATGGGACAGAAGCTGAGTCCTTTACCTCCAAGGAGGAATTGGGGAACCCCTGTGCCCGGAGACCATCTCCCAGGTTGCTGGGTAGCCTTTCTTACGTGGTTAAGCTGGAGTCCAATTCGTTTGGGGGGGCTGGGATATAAACATGAGGCTGTTCAGAAGTGGCAGAGACGGTGACACTGACCACGCAGCTCGGGGGGTTTCTCACCCTGAAAGACATAGGGGGTGCATGCCAACACCGATGCTGACCTCTTCTGGAGTCAAACAGGCTGGATATTGAGGGGGGAGGCCCCACAGGAACCTGGAAAGACGGGGAAGGGGGAATGCAGAGCCAAAGAGCGAAAAGAAAGCTGATGACAAGAATAAGGAAACAAGATGTGCTACGAGCTACTCAACTAGCAAGTGTCTGCGATCCGTGAGGGCAGGACAGTCAAGGGGACAGCAGAACTGAAAGGGCAAGTAAAACAAAAATCCCCTGGAGCAACTTGGGAAGCCAAGGTGGGAAGACCACTTGAGGCTAGAAGTTTGAGACCAGCCTGGGCAACAAGCAAGACCCCATCTCTAAAATACAAAGATTTTTTTTTTGAGTTGGAGTCTCACTCCATCACCCAGCTGGAGTGCAGTGGCACGATCCCGGCCACTGCAGCCTCGACCTGCTGGGCTCTGGCAATTCTTCCGCCTAAGTCTTCCAAGTAGCTGGAACTACAGGCACGCGCTACCATGCCCGGCTAATTTTTGATGTAGTGTAGAGACGAGGTCTCGTCAAGTTACCCAGGCGGGTCTCGAACCCGCAGTCTCAGGCAATCCACTCCCTTCAGCCTGCCAAAGTGCTGGGATTACAGGCTGAGCCAGCGAGCCTGGCCTAAAAAGATCTTTAAAAAGTATTAGCTGGGTGTGGTGGCTTTTACCTGTAGTCATAGCTACTCGGGAGGTGGAAGTAGGAGGATCATTTGAGCCCAGGCAAGTCCAGCCTGGGCAACACAGTGTGACACTCATCTCTGTCTCTCTCTCTCTCTCTTTTTTTGAGTTGGAGTCTCCCTCTGTCACCCAGGTTGGAGTGCAGGGGCACACTCCCGGCCACCGCAGCCTCAACCTGCTGGGCTCTGACGATTCTTCCACTTCAGCCTTCCAATTAGCTGGAACTACAGGCACATGCTACTATGCCCAGCTAATTTTTTGATCTACTATAGAGATGAGGTCTCGCCAAGTTGCCCAGGCTGGTCTTGAACCCCTGGGCTCAGGCAGTCCTCTCACCTCTGCTTCCCCAAATGCTGGAATAACGGGCATGAGCCACCACACCTGGCCAAAACCCTATCTCTTTTTGAAAAATATCCCCTGAGGACCCCCCCCCCAGGACTGCAACGTGGACAACAGGAGCCTCCAACCTCCTCACCTCTCATAGGGTGATTGATGCCCTGCCTCCCTCCCAGGAGCCCAGCTCCTGCCCCCTGCCCTCCTTGCTTCCTACCCTCTGACCTCAGGGCCCATCTTGAGGCCTCGTACCCCTCTGCTTTGTCCATGCTGCCTCTTCCCAGGCTTTTCCAGATGTTTCAAGTCTCAGTTGAACAGCTCATTCCTCGACCAAAAAGCTTTCCCCCAACTACCCCAGTACGACTCTCTCTGCCCCGACTCCTTCCACCTGAGCACACGTTTTCTTTCTTATCTGGGCTTATCATAAATGGAGGCGTAGTGTGCACTGCAGTAACGAACAGTTCTAATCCCTGTTAAGCCACTTCCTGGCTAGATAACTGCTGGCAAGTTTACTTAACCTCCGTGTGCCTCAGTTTCTCAATACTAATAGGACCTCCCTCATAGGGGTGGTGTGAGAATGAATGTGTGAGTCCACAAATCCCCAGCACACAGCAAGTGCTAGCAGTCATCACTATCATGGTCACTCACAGGAAGCTCTTCATACATATTGTCTGTAGGTGGTGGCCCATGGCTCTTGGTCACTCCCAAACTCATGGCTGCTTTGGGAAGAGATTTCTGGGGAGCAAAGGGAGATCCCAACAGGCAAGTACATCTTCGTTCACTGCCATCGACTGCAGTTCCAGGAGATGAGAAGGAGAGGACCTCTGGCCTCACACAGAAAAGGGCCAGAGGGACACCAGGACTGACTGCTGGCATGCATCCTATCTATCAGGTTTGGGAGGCCACAGCCAGGCTGAGGAATACAAGAGGTCACCTTCTTTGCTGAGTTCCTTGGCAAGATGAAGCTAGAACAGCCCTCTGCTTGCCCTGTTACTAGGGCCACCACATCGAAGCAATGAATCATGGCAGAAAGGTGATGACAGAGCTAGAAGACTTGATTGGCAGAGGCAAGATGAGACAAGATCAGGAGCTAGTCAAGGGAGTGACCTGGAACCGAGAGACAGAGAGAGGCCAGAGGTCAGAGCAAGGCAGTGGGTCAAAATCAGGTAAGGGGACAAGTAAATGGTCATGAAGCACCAGAAATAAGGAAATCTTAAGAATAAGGCAAGTCCTGCCTTGAATCAGAAGCCTCTACTACACGTCTTGCTGGTACAAGAGCCAATAACGTTCCATCACAGAGATGGAGGTGAAGTTCATCTGCCAGGAATGGGGAGAATGCCATCAGATCACAACATTCTCTTCTGCTTTCTGTGTGCTGCCCATGTAGAAATTTCTCGCAGCTACCACAAACACTGCAATTTTGTGTGAACCAACACTGCTTTACAGAGGCCAGGAGCCAGAAAACTGCCACAGTAGGGGGAGACCTGAACTGCTCCCAGGAGCATGCTGGTGCTGTCTGTTCCCTACTGCCCTGCTCCTCCTAGATCCTTAGCCTCTCTAAGAAAACTCACAGCCCCTGCTTTCTCAGGCTATGGCTACCAACTTCTTGTAAGCACTATGCATCCCTAGATCACCACTCTAGAGGTATGCTACTGCCCAGATGCATGTTTGGTGCTGGTAGTAGTGGAAGAGCTCATTCAACTGGAATAGCCTTTATTTCTGGTAGCAAGTCCCATGCACACCACGACACATCTCCCTCAGAGACTTTCCAACTCTAGGAATGGCAAAAGCACTGCCATCCGTCCCCCAACTCAGATTTTCAGCCTCCAATTGGCTCCAGGCGACTTGGCTCTCTGCACCTACTCTGTGCCTGGTTTAGTCTAACAGATTTGATGCTAGGGCTCCATGCTGAAACCTGTGAAGACCATCCCTGGGATTCTGGCTTCTAGTCTGCTTTCCTCTGGCTCCTAGCCACTCACACCTGCAGAGGGTAACAGGTATGCTTAATGTGTGGGCGTTTGTCCTGGGTGGCGGTCCCTGACAGAAATGCTGGGTCTAGCAGGCAGGAACCCAGCACAGCTGCCCTTACCTGCCCACGCTGCTCTCCAGGCCGACAAGCTGCTCAGGTCCGCTGGGGCTGCTCCACTGCTCTGGGGTGCTGGGATCTGCAGGTTGCTCGGTGGGTACAGCTGGGACTCCCTGGTCACCCCTCGGGGCTCCAGGCCTCTCCTGCCAGGTCTCTTCAGCCTTGGTGGCCACATTCTCCTCCTTGCAGTCAGCCAAGGTGCTGAGGAAGAAGAATATCCTTATGAAGGGAGACACCTGGGTCCAGCCCTTGTTCACCCAAGGCACGCTGGCTGGCTGTCACCTCCCGAGGGCTTGGAGGGGCTCATCTCCCCAAGGGTGGGACAGGAGGAATCACACACAACGGCCACCTCAGGGAGTAGGCAGTCTCCTCCTTGGTAGGACCCCAGCACAACTGCTTTCCTCTTGCTGACAAAGGCAAAGTCACCTGATATCGTCAACAAGGAGTTAAAAGAGCAAGTCTTCCCTGTCATTTCTGCATCCTTCCTACCACTGCCACCCCTCCCTTCTCCACTCCTTTCCCTCCTCCAGCCCATGTGCCCTGTCTAGAGAGACCTAAGCCATCCGATCTTTTCCTTGGACCAGAAAGACTTGTGCCCATAGTTAGGCTAAGCAAGTTCTGGCTTTCTGGGAAAGGGCTTCTCCCAGCTACCCTGGAGGGCTCGGTGTGGAAAAGGAAGGAGGAATAGGGACGCGGTGCCCGCTAGTTTTCCAAACTGGCTGCTGACCCCCACAGAGGGGGAAGGGCCACGAAAACTCTAAGTTTCTAGGGCGGGGCGGCGGGTGGGGTCAAGAGGCCAGGTCCCATTTGTGATCCTCGCGCGCCGACTGGCGGCCGGCGTCGGGACTGCTGCGAAAGAAGCGCTGCTAAAGGACCATCTCGCCAACGACAGCCATTTTGTTTGTTTATGTTGTCATTTCCCGGCGAGCACCGCGGCCCGAGACCACTGTTGCAGGAAATGGCGGCGCGCGCAAGCGCACTCACGCCAGTCTGACGAAGGTTTAGGCGCGCATGAGCCCGGCGAGCGCGCGCCCGGGCGCACGCTTATTGTTGTGGCCACGTGTTTCCACAACGGAGACATCCTTATCTTCTTTATTGTGAAATAGCCACACCTATTATTACACAGCAATAGCATTTTTTTCTTTTGTTTTTTTGAGTCGGAGTCTCCGTCTGTTGCCCAGGTTGGAGTGCAGAGACACGCTCCTGGCCACCGCAGCCTCGACCTGCTGGGCTCAGGCGATTCCTCCACCTCAACCTTCCAAGTAGCCGGAACTACAGGCGCGCGCCACCACGCACTGCTAATGTTTGATTTATTATAGAGACGAGCTCTCACCAAGTTGCCTAGGCAGGTCTCGAACCTGCGGGCTCAGGCAATCATCTCACCTCTGCCTCCCAAAGTGCTGGGATTACAGGCGTGAGCCACTGCGCCCAGCCTAGCAATAGCATTTCCATCTGTTTTTTACAGATGAGAAAGCTGGGGTGAAGTTCCGCTTGAAACTAATAAGTTGCAGTCAGGATGCAACTGCGTTGTCACCTTTGCAACTCCATCCAATCGTGTGACCACAGCTACACTGCTGGAGTCACTAAGTCTAAGGATGATGGTGGGGTGGAAGCTGGGGCGAGAGGACACCTCATAAATGTACTGCTTAAAACAAGGACATCTCTCTTACCATCAATCCCCTCCCCACCTCACCCGAGCCACTTCTTCCCCTTCCAGTAGCTGAACTCCTTAGGAAGCCCTATCTACACTCACCCTTGTCATCTACACTTTTATCACCTTTTCAATCCCTTCTTACTATCATCATTCCACGGAAGCTATACAGCTTCTCAAACTGTTCTGAATGACATCCCTTCTCCCATCTGTCAAGGTTCCATATGCCGTCTTACAGTGCAACTCCCCCATCATGCGACTCACCACATCACCACAACTAAACACGTCTCTATGCAGTTCAACCACAAGTCTACTGATAAAAGGCTTAGATGTCTTGGCAATGTCAAAATGCTGGAAAAATTCATAAATACTCTCAATTTCTGTACTTGCCTTAGATGACAAAAAACCGTGAAAGGGGGTGAAGTGTGCTGCTTTATCACAGGATCGCACTCCTCTAGACATTCTTGCAGCTAATTCAGGTCAACTAATTCAGTTGGCCACTCTCCCTCTTCTCTTTTTCTTCTTCTACAATAGCACACTGGTTGGCTTCCTATCTCTCTGGCCACTTTGCATTCATCTCTTTGACAGGCTCCTCTTGTTCTGCCCTCCCTCTTAATGTGGGTGCTCCTCTAGGGTTCTGACCTCTACATCTTCTCTTCTCACTTTATGTGAACTTTCACAACAAGAATCCCATGGCCTCAACTGCCACTGACATAACTTAACATGCCCCCAAACGTATTTTCTCTCACCTACCTAGTTGAGAGTCTAAGTGAATGGTGGTGCCATGTTTTTGAGATGGGGAACACTGGGAAGATGCAGAATTAGGGCATTAATTAATTTGTTTTGTTTAGCTGGTTCTTGTTTTTTGTGAGAGAGGGTGTGTGGGGAAAGATGGTGCTGGATATGCTGAATTCTGGAAGATGGCAGAGGTCCATAAGGCTACCCAATGAAACTACACATAGGCAAGCCTGCTGCTTCTATCAGCTGTTTCCCATTGTTTCTCAAGAGTCTTAGGCCAGAAACCCAGGATTGGTTACTGCCTGAAGGATGACCAACTGCTCATAATTGTCTATTTTTTACCCTGTCCTTTACCTTATCCAAATGTTAGGCAGGTTTCTCCCTTCCCCACAGGTCCCTGAACTTTGCTTGCTTCTGCTTAAACAAGCACTAAAATGCAGAGCATGCCCCACTTACCAGTTTACTCAGAGAACCAGCCAACCACATGAAGACACACTTCTGGTCAACCATGCCAATTAAGCTACCCCTTGCTTGCCCAACTGACCCTTAAAAGGAGCTGCTAGATCTGCTTACCTCTCCTTCAAAAAGAAAAAGTATTTTCCTGTTTGATTTTGATACTTACAAATCCTGAGGTTGCATCATTATTCCCATTGCATTAGTCTATTTTTTAAAATAAAGCTTCTCCTTATCTAAGTTGGTATTTGTTTTTGTTTTTATTTGACTTTTTTTATCATTCTGTGAGTCAGATAGGGTTACCTTGATTCTATTAAATGCTCTCTTCCCAGTTCTTATCTGTTTGAGCAAGAATCTTCCCAGACAAAAGTCTTATTGGTTCTTTTTGAGTGGGGATTTAACCCCCCCTAGTTTGCTGTTCCTGGCTCTTTTCAGTTTGAGCCAGAATCTTCCTGGACAGAAGTTTTCTTGGTTCTTCTTAAGTAGAGATTTATTCCCTGAACTTCTTGTAGGAAATTCTGCCTCTTCTGTGAGGCCTTCTTGTTTCTCCCAAGTCTTATCTAGGGATTACACAAGGAAAGCCCTTCAGCTCCTCAGTAAGGGTTGCACAGAGAAACCACCTTTGGCTTCCAAATGAGGACTGTCTGCAGAACTTTCTAGTGAAACTGCCCAATTCCTTTCTTTACTTGATCCTTCTTTTCCCAATCTACTGGGTGCCCCTCTTCCTCCTCCCTTACTGACTACATGCTCTGCCCCTGTGGCACTCATTCTGTCCAGTATCTCCAAGAATAGCAACATTTCATAAAGGGTAATTTGGAGTTTCAGTGGCCTCTTTGACAAATTTAGGATCTCCCATAACCGGCTCATCTGAGATGTCTCCACCCCTCCTCCCTCTCTTTCACCACCTTCAACCTTCCCTTCAGCTCCCTGAATCCTTTCATCTGTCCTTAGACACCTCCAACTCCTGCATACCACTGCTCACTCCATGCCAGGTCATTCTCTGCTCACTCATGCCCCTTCAACTGCCTATGGGACCCCAAAAGCAGCCACTTGATGAAAAAGCTCATTGGAAACACAGCAGGGATTGTATTGTTGTGGGAAAACAAGTCAGCGAGACTGTGACACCAAGGCTGATAAGCAGGAAGCTGCGTTTATTACTGGAACGCTGGCATTTGGCCCAGTGGACTCCATTTGCGTCAATCGCAGTTGGGTCTCAGTTTGTATAGGTTTTACATTGACTTTGGGGTAAGGGGATTTTCATGGTGTAAGGTTTTGTACTTTTTGTAACAATAGCACAAGCTTGTGGTTTTGGCTGCCGGCACTGAGCAAGGCGTTTTGCATTAGCAAACTGGAACATTTTAACTGTGATATGTTTTGAAGCATTTTCTAAAAGCCCCCTACCACTTGGATAGTCTTTGGAGACACCCAGACGTCCACTTGGGGTCTCTTCAGTCCCTCACTCCAGATTTAGTCTAAAGCTTCTATAAGATTACACAGCAGGGCAAAATAAAGTCTTACAAATATTGGTGGGCTGCTTCAGCCTTCTTACTGAGCAGGTAACATCGACTTGTCCTATCTACCAGAAATACAGTTCTGCTCAAAATATGAGGGTAGGTCAAAGATGAAAGCCATTTTTAAAGAAAATATGAAACAGTAAGTTTTGTATTTCAGTATTAATGCTTGACTCCTGTATGAAATTAGAATGAAAGCCATAAGATCTCTGTCTGTGACTATCTGTATGTTTATGTAGACATGTATGTTGTATATGTGGAATATTTCCCTACCTTCAGATGGTATGACCAAATTAATTCACAAAATCCATTACCCTCTATTCTAACTGACCTAGAAGTAAATAAGCACTTATATAAATTAAATAATACTAATGCTCTCATAAATTAAGGAAACAATTTCTAATGCTTTCAATGTAAACAACAAAAAATTATTTTATATAAAAATTAACCCAAATGTTTTTAAAAATCAGGTTCAGAGAATTTAGGTAAATCTTTGGCAAACAAGACTAGTTTGATATTATCAGTTTAATAGAGAGCTATATTGTCCGAGTTATCAGCATTACATATAATACAAGCACATATTTTTATTCTAGTTGGGTATTTTTTCCTAAACTTAAACAGGTGTACTACTCAAATAAGATAGCATTATACCTACTACATGTTGAATGTCATAAAAATGTAAATTCTCTTTTAGCCAAACTGAGCCATTATTCTGGCAAACTTTATTTCAACAGTAATTATGTTTCATAATATGTCAGCTTAAAGACAGTTTCTGAGATCTTTTTAGTAACTTAAAACTTTAGACTTACACTAAATTAACTGATAAACATTTGTTAAATACCTAGATA